CTGCATCCATACCGTAATCCTCCATAATGTGTATCAGTTCTCTCTTGCTCTTCTCTCAGACGTCTATTTACCCCTTTTCAGGAGTCCGTCTTGTCAATTGAGAACGCCACCTCTGCCGACGCTGGCACCTACGTCTGCTCGGCCTGGAACAGCGCCGGCGAGGACAAGGGCACACTGACTGTCCGCTTGATCTCACGACCCACCATTGCCCAGTTGATCCTCAGCAAAGAGTTGACCCGCGAGTCCGAGATGCAGACCATCATCTGCCAGGCCACCGGACAGCCGCAGCCCGCCATCACTTGGGAGTTCAACGGAAGCCCAGTCAGTTTCATCACTTTCACTTTAGACCATACGCTTACTCACGAATAGACTTGCTTGTCATTGAGACTGATTTATTGGTAGTCTCGAAACTCTACTCAAATACGAAAAATAAATAACTTAGTCGATTGTTATAGCAAATATACGTTTGCTTCATCGACAATCCCACCAAAGAATATGATATGGTAGAAGGCCTGGCCTTACTTAAAATTCACATCTGTCCTGTGGCCCAAGTGCACTCGTGGCAATGTGGCAAAATTCTACCACCATTCCTTCATCACATTAAACGAAATAGGGTGAATACATCTCATAATGATGTTGGCCTACCTCTCATTTCATTTAAAAAGTAGGTTCTATAAGCTTATTAAATTGGCTTCATCAGAATCCGTTAGGGCAGGCGACCATTGCTCATGAAAAAGATGTTTACCAAAACGCTAAACCAAGTAATTGCTTTGGTGAACATTTTCGTAAATGTTGGTTTTCAGTTCTGAGGATGTCTGTCATGAGCGTATTTCTGTGATGAAATTATCGAAAAAATAATATGGCATTTGACATTACTACACTACTAGCACACTACTTACTTTTGTTTATAAGTAGGTTTATATACTACTACTAGATCATATATATGAGATGTATTTATCCCATTTCGTTTAAGAGGATGAGAGATGGGCATTTGAATTGGCTTAAAATGATATGAGTAACGTTTCGAGATTATACGTTGCAATACCTCGGCTCGAGCCCCGCTGGAGGTGTTGATGAGACCTAGACAGGGTTGAAAATACGGTCCGCTTCATTCTGGATAAGAATACCTTTTGGAAAGCAAGGCTATATGAAATTGAATAAAAGCGCCAGTCGTACTCATATCATTGTGGGAAAATTTAGCTACCTGTCTTTTATCACCTTAAACTAAATAGAGTGGGTGCCATTCTTTTGCCCCGAAGAGTTAATAGCACAAATTTACTGTCAGGTCTCCAAGGCAAATCCTCTTGAGTTTCCGGTACAGCCAATTTACTAATATCCTTCATGCTCTTTTTTTCAACTAAAATTATGTGTACAACAAAATTAGCAAGACTGTCAGCCTCTTCCCGGCGAACTCAGATCATTCTCACCATCTAGCTATCCACCTCTGATATCTCCACTTCCGTCCTTTGGCTGTTACTTTTTGATTTCTCAATTTCTCGTAAAGCCGTCTCTATGATTATGGATAGCAATGCATATAAGCCGGCGTGGGAATGCTTGACTCAAGTCGCATGGCCTGAGCGTTGTGAACAAGAGGCCACTCTTCTCTTCAGCTTGCTTTAGATAAACTTAAACAACATACACGAGGGTCCCCTAGACATGGAAAAAGAACTAGGACATAAGTTATCTTCTCGTCAAGATTTCCATACTGAGGCGTCGAATTTCCACCTATTTTTCTTCTGCTGGCTTTTATCACTTCCCTATCCATCCGAAATTGTGATGCTGAAGAGGGCTGAAATGCTAGTATCGTTCGAATCACTGTATTTAAGATCTATAGCACCTGCTTAACAATTAATCTCATGCCTCGCTACGAATGAGTGAAGTGATTCTATTCTCGCCCCTTGTTATCTAAAAACTGGAGTCTCACTTTTCCGAAAGCATACTATTACAAGCCAACCTTATTTCTCCCTGAACCCTTTCCCCTCT